GGGGGGTGGGGTGGGGGGTGGCGGGGGGGGGGGGGGGGGGGGGAGGGGGGGGGGAGCCGCGAAAACTCGAACTTAAAACTTACACTCACTATTTTCTTCGAAAATACATGTGAGTTCCACAAAATGCTCTGACTGCATCGCAATCTTGTAGAGCACGATTTGAAAAAAATATGCTTGAGTTTCTGAGAAGAGAAAAGTTGATTATTTGAGTTTGAATTCTGTTAAAAGCACAGGTATTAAAGTATTTTTTTTTTCGTTTGAAAATAGTCCACTTATTTGTCTGTATCTATAAATATTGAGTAATATATTAAAGCATCTTTAATCAAGAGAAATGGTGTATGAATTATTTCTCGAAAATATATTTCGAACTTTCTACTCAAAAGACGAATTCTTTTTACACGAGAAAAAAACATGAATGAAAATTGTTGATTTCAATTATTTCTTTTCATTTCTTTCCAGACGATGAACCGAAGTCTGATCAATCTGAAGAGTCTGATGATTCAGACGATGCAGCTAGCATATTTAGCAATATCAGTTTTGATGCTTCGTGGATATTCATTGAAGATGAAATATTCATCACTGGTTTACCTGTTAACATGCCCGCAGGCAAACTTTTTGATACACTTAAGAAAGTATTTTCTACAAGTGGCGACATTGAGGTAACTTAAAAGAAAATTCTATAACAAACGAATATTTGTTTGATTGTTTGGTTGCTAGATTCATAGAAGAACAAAAATACCGCTCATCAAATTATACAAACGAAAAGAGAATCAATCTCAGCTCAGTGGAGCAGCGACAGTGCGATTCAAAAACAAAAAATCAGTCCCCGAAGCAATTGAAAAATATAATGGTAAACTAGAACGAGTGACTATGACTATGAAAATAATACATATATTATCTCTTTCAGGGAGACAAATACCAATTTTAAATAATTGTCAAATAAAGGTTCAAATGGGAAAAAGAAAAATTGATAAAACAAAACAGCTAGTGAAAGGGCCACAACCTTCAGCACCATCAAAACAAATCCCACAAGAAGGTAACAGACATTTACAACAGAAAATCAGTTGTGAATGTGGCTTTCAGGAGCATTCAAATCTCCCCACATTCACACTCCTCATCTGTTCTATTTGATTGAAAGATTATTATAATTGTTAGTTGCAATGATATATGTTTATGTTCAAAGTATCTCATCGAAAATCAGAGAAATTTCACTCAGCACTCTTGTCGAGTAGTTACAGAATAATTTCATCTTCTTTCTCAGATAAGCAATAAATTCTACTAGTAACAACGATGGAAAAATCTTCTAGATCTTTGACAAGATTTAGAACATGATTTTATCAATGTGATTATCGCTAAACTGCTGTATGACACAAGCGATTTGATGGAAAAATTATACAGCTTTATTAGACGTAGAATTAAATTTTCCCAAAAAATTTAGTATAATCTGAGATAAGGTTTCAACTACTTCCATTGCAACGATATTCTGATGTGCCTGTGTCTGTAATGAGTCATTCATCTAGAACTAGAAACTTAATTAACAATCAGATTCTAATAAAGAAAAGCATTAAGATAATTCAAAAGTATCTCTATTGGGCTTCAGAATACATTTTATTGTTATAATTACTCCACATAGAAAAAATTCCAGTTCCACAAGCGGCAGCAACCTCGGAAAATTCAATATTTCTAACTGGTTTACCGAAGACAATGTCCGAAGAACTTCTGATCCGTACTCTTCTGGATGAATTTTCTTCTGTTGGTGAAATTGAAGTAATTAAAATAAAGATTCTAGAAAATGAATTTTTAATTCTGTGACTCCTATTTTAGATAGATGAATCAACCAAAAAACCGTCTATTTATTTGTTTAATGACAGAAATAAACCGTTCGAACTGAATGGTAGAGGTAAGATCACATTTCAAAAAAAAAGAGTCGATAAAGAAAGCAATTGAAATATATGATGGTATGTTAGAATAAACTTCAATAAATAAAATAACAGTATATGTGTTGTCTTTGTTGAAGGGAAACGGATTGAACGTTTGAATAACTTTCAAATACATGTCAAGATGTTTCAAGCAAAAACTCCCAAAGTGTTGTTATCTACAGCAGAACAAAAACTCTCAATACCGCCAATGCCCATCCCACCACCAAAAGGTAAGCATCTAGAAAAAAAACAGTTTAAGTTTGGATCTTTGACGGTCAATCTTAGATCAATGGTCCACCATATTCATGAGAGATTTCAAAATGTGGCTTTACGAAGATTATTATCGATATTTCACTATATAGCAGGATGGATTTGACGGAGAAATTCTACAAAATTCTGCAGAATCAGAATTTTGATGTGTCAAAGATCTCTATATAGTTTGAGATAAGGTCTCAATGAGTTATAACTCCAATACATTGACGTGTGGGTGCAGTTTTTAATGATTCACTGATTTCTGAACTAAACTCACATCTACGCAAAGGAATTCGATTATATCTAAATAAAAAATACATTTTTACAGAATTTCAAGTAGATTTCTTGAATGTCGCCAACGATTTGAGCTATGCCTGTTAATTTTATCGATACAGAAAAATATGTTTGTATGATTTATAAATAATTTCTAACTGAAAGCATTGAAAAATGGCTCATCTTACAAATAAAATAGTTAGAAAAACATTTATTAGCGTATTACACACGTTTAAAAGTCTGTAGTTGCAGAAAAAAATTGACTGAGGATTTGAATTCTTACATAGAATAGAATATTTCTTTTTGTAAATTAGTAAGAGACATCAACGGAATTTAGCATGCATCACTGTTGGTTCATAATTCCAGCAGAATATGAAAGAAACATGTAGGCGCTATTTAGATATCGAAATTCTATAACTTTGAAACAGATATTTTAACTCCAATAGATAATTCATCATCCCGGTCACATGTAATATTATATCGAACTTGAAAAAGTGTGTTTCCTATTGTCCAAAATTGATCTTCTTACTTTCCTTCTTATTTGTGAGAACGTCATCTTATAGATCTTATCGGAGTTGTCTATCATACTAAACGTTATTTAGAAGGATTTACATAATTCTCTGTTGCCACTGGTAGAACAGTTAGGATCATCATTAAATTAAAAAGAACAGTACTGTTATTTAGTGAGAGCTTCAATAATCTAAGAATATGAAAAAAAGCTGCACTGTAAAAAACTTGGCAGAAATCATATAACTCTCTTTTTCTTTCAGTAAAACTAACCCATCCATTGTTAATTTTGTTTCAAAAAAAATGAAAAAGGTTTCATTCAAATGAAATATCCTTGATAAACTTTTATCTCATCTGTATTAACATTGCTCAATTAATCAATCGTTTTTTTTGTTGTAGATACGCGTCAACCTGAAGGAAGCGTTACTATCTTGTGGGATATTGAAAATTTGGCCATTCCTGCTGGGCAAAGTGCTTATAGTATTGTCTTGAAGCTAAAGCAACGGTTTATAACAGAACAAAACAGGGTCCAAGGTCGTTTCGTAGTCTTTTGTGACGTCGGAAGACTACCGAAAAAGCATCAAGAAGACCTCCATCATGCTGATGTAGATACTAATCATGTGCCGAATTGCAAGACTACCATAACCGACAGAGACATTTTCAAAGCTATACAATTATTCAAAGAGCAGCACAAAACACCCACTACATTAGTACTTCTAAGTGGAGACATCGATTTCGTTCGATGTATACATGAACTTCGGTTCAAACATTACCATTATGTCATTGTTGTTTACAATCCACAAGCAAACTACAAACTTTTAGAGGCAGCTAATGAAGCTATTCCTTGGAGCGAATTCACTGATGAACCTAGAGTGAATATTCCCAACAAAAGAGGTCCTCCGAAACTTAATCCAGATCAAATAGTTTCGACTGCGCAAACGGTTGATGATGCTGCATCAAGAATACCTTTACCTGGTGCTCTTCCTTCAGTTGTTAGTAAAAATCGTGTCGTTCCAGCAAACACTGAAGATTCCACACGGATTAATTCTGTGACGACTAAAATGCCTCATACAAAAGTGAAGTGCAACAAAGAACGACCATGTAACGAAAATCCGAAGATGTAAGTATTTCCTTTAAATATTTAGAGTAGCTGAATATTCGTTGAACTTTTTAAAAGAAAATTTCATATTCCAAAGCAGCATTTATAGAACGAATAGATCTGAGTCTCATTGTACGATAGCATATGATTGAGCTGTACGTGTTTGTTAATCTATCATGAAGAGTAAGAATTCCAGCCACGCTCCTTAATTTTTTTAAATATCTTTATCTCGCTACTACTAGTGAGCGACCATGATGTCAATGCAAGAACGTACTCCTTAAAACTTTTGAATATAGTTCGATTCCGATATTTTGAATGAGGAACATTTCTTCATTATTCATTAGATCATAGTTCCGAGACTACTAGAAATCTTCAATTGCTAATGGAAAACAATCAAAGTCTCATTATACTCAAGGGTTATTCCAGTAAAGATGTTCTTTCAGTGCCATATATTGGAGAATTAAAAAAGAAACACATGATTAAAACTGAACTGAGGGAATACAAGTATAACACAAAAGCTTTTTACATTCAAGATCCTTTTGAACAAAGCTACTGACAGGTAGCGAGTCACTGAAGAAATGAAGTTACTATTTCTATGAACCCTGCTATGTGTTTTGGTCGCCTTTTTCTATGAAAAAGAATGAAAATAAATGAAATTTTCAGTTTTGGAATAATGGTATTCACAGCAATTCATAATTGTTCAAGCAATTTATTCGGAAAAGAAAATTATCTGAACATTTAATACGGAAATTCCAAAGCATTTCTTCCTTAAAAAAATAGTATCGACAAAAATACTCGAAATTTATGCACTGCCTCATTTCCCTGCAATAGTATTTGTCAACCGGAATCAAACTTTAATATAATTAATTTACACGATGAACTTTCACTTATAAACAGAGAATACTTGAGGCAAGTCGACATCATTGGTTATGGTTACAACCAATGACATGTGAAACTTTCGTATAGTCGATACATGGGTTGAAAATATTTGAAAATTTTTTAAACGAGCAGTTTGTATTTGTTTATTCGATAATCCCAATGCTTTTATCTTCGTCTAAGACGTGGTTTCAATCCATTATGTGAAACATGATGCTCAAAAACAGAGTGATGTGAAAATCGAGTAAAAACAACATTATTCAGCTTTATTGTTTAGAAGATTTTTACATATTTTCGGATGAGTGGTTTTTTAAAGAAAATCTTGGCACAGGTTCTGAGAAAGGTTCAAGGTACGTTTAGACTTTTTCCCAGGGAATTTCTTCTATGCATCAGTAATTTTTAGTAACTTATCCAAATGATACAATGTGTTTCCAATAATTGCTGGGATTCTCATTAAATTGATATCAATATATGAATAACTATTGTCAAGACTCAGAGTCTGCTCTTCTCTCTAGGTTTTCTCTACATTTATAGTCTAATAAGCTTTATAATCTTTCCTTTGCCATTGACAATTGTTTGTAATTTTGCGAACTATTTGTGTAGTATTTCTCTAATTGTCAGAAAACTCTTTAGAAATGTCATAGAATGACGGCTGTCTGCGTAAATGTTTCATGTTATCGCTATTTTCATATTGTTTGTAGCTTTAAAAATTAAAAGCTGGATAACTTTTGTTCAATATTATAAAAATAACTTAAAAATTTAGTAATGAGTAAGTTTTATTTCAGAGAAAAATAGTTACGTGATGATCCGTTTCTTAGTGCCAAAATTCTTGTTTGACCACTTTCTTCTCCAAATATTCGTTAGGAACAGCTTAAATCTTATCACACGTCCTTACACATCTCGTAGACTGAAAACAACTAGTATGCAGCTACAGTATTGAATATTAAAGATATCAATTTGAAAATGAATTTCTAATTAATAGACTCTTGAATTTATTTTTTTGTACAGTTTCGTCGGACAAGGTGCAAAAGTCTATCGCGCTAGCTTCTATCTTGTCTATGTGTAAAGGAAAACCCGCTTATGTTTATCATAAAGAAGTTTTGATTTTCGTTTCTGTTTTGGATTATTCAAAACGCAACATAAGTTTAAAGATTTAATTACACAACAAACAATTAGTATGCAAAAAAAGTTCTGATGAAGAAAAACTTTCAAAGTACGAACTTATCGAAATCCAACTCTTCGACTGATGATGAGTCACTATCTACATTGAGCACGCCTTTGTAGAAAAATTTGATTTATTGGAAAAGGTTTATTTTAAGAAAAGATAGAAAACACATAAATGGGTCTAATATTAAACTTTATCTGGTGCTTTATAGCAAGTATTATTAAATTGTCTGAACTTACAATTTTCATGAAAGTTACTGCAAAATTCATTTTACTTTGTCTTTGAAGACTGATGTCAAAACAATTCGAAAAATTTCAGAGCTCAGCAAAAATTTGTGAATAGAAAAATCAAAACATTTAAAATTAGATACGTTAGGCATTATTTATGCAACATGTTAGTTTTCTTTGATTCTGTTGTTGTATAGAGCTATTCAGCAAAGATCATGACTAATGTTATGCGACCAAACAAAGAAACAATAGGATTTTCGAGAAATTTGAATTTATACTCTCTATCTAAGCAAATAATATCTAGCGAACTTTGAGACAGTTAAACTATTTTCTACATCGCAATTTTAAGCATTGCACTGATCAGTTAATTACATGAAATCACTCGTCACCCATTCTTTTTGAAAGATTCAATAATATGTCTGCCAGACTACACTGAATCTTATAGAAAGTACGTGCCATTATTCTTTTTCAAGGTCAATATACATATCATCCTATGCAACAAGAGAATTCATATAAATTCACTGAAATTTCTATTTATTTTAGTTCTAATGCCCAGTTATCGAAAGCATCATCATCACAAACAGATCGCTCACACAATTTCGCACCAGCAGTTATTCCACGGTTTGCTAAACTAAGGAGCGAAGGTCAATCGCATAAGAAACAAAATAAGTCTCCGGATACTGACAATCCATTTTGTTGTTCCATGTCTAACAAGAAATTCTCCACGGATGCTGGCCGACTTCTGCACGAAAGATACAAGCATAAAGTCAGAGACCTAATTGATCTTGATAGTTCGACAGTAAAAGATGACTCGAACTGTCACTTTGAGTCAAAAGACTCCGAAAGCCAATCGAATGT